CGCGGCAGCTCGAGACTCAGCAGGGACAGCACCACCACCCTCAGCGACAGCACGAGCGCCACCCACACCTCCAGCGGCAGGACCAACAGCAGTAGGCTCAGCACCAACGCCCTCAGCAGCTCCAGCTCCAGGAGGACCCGCAGGTCCAGCAGCTCCGGGACCAGCAGCACCTGCACCCTCGACAGCCGAAGAAGCTCCAGCTCCAGCTCCAGCAGCACCTCTAGACGCAGCAGCACGCCTCCAGCGGCGAGCGAACCACTCGCGCAGCTCCTGTGGAGAGAGGGGCTCCCGGCGAGACGCAGCAGCAGGAGAAACCCCAGGCTCAGCAGCTCCAGACGCAGCACCCCCAGGCTCAGCAGCTCCCAGCTCAGCACCCCCAGGCTCAGCAGCTCCCGACCCAGCACCCCCAGACCCAGCACCTCCAGGCACAGCACCCCCCGGCTCAGCACCCCCAGGCTCCGCACCCTCCGCAGTAGCACCCTCAGGCCCAGCACCCCCAGCAGTAGCACCCCCAGGCTCAGCACCCCCGCGCACAGCACCCCCAGAGTCAGCACCCCCAGGCTCAGCACCCGCAGCAGCACCAGAGTCACCAGTAACCTCGACCGGGTCAACGGCGTCTACCTGGGACACACCTGAGGGGGCAGGAACCTGAGGGGGGAGGGGGTCTACCGGGGGGGGAACCAGCACAAGGAAGTCCGGGGGAGGGGGGAGGGAAGGAGTGCGGTAGGGGAAGAGACGGTAGAAGGGGACTGACTCGTCGAACGTGACGTCCTGGGAGGACAGAACACGACGAGAGGAGGGGTGGTAAAACTGCCACCCTGGGGCGTCAGTGGGGAAGCCAAGGAAGACACAGGGAGCAGCACGAGGGGACAGCTTGTCCGCAGACAAGTCGCGGACAAACGCCCGAGATCCCCAGACACGGAACACAGACGCATCGCCAACCTTCCCCGTCCACAGCAAGGCTGGGGACATCGCAGGCCGAGAGACCCGGGGGTGAAGGTTGAGCTGATGCGCCGCGTACCTCACCGCAAACGGCCACAGAAAATGGGGGGCAGCCGCATGCATCATGGACGTACGAGCGACATCCATGACCATGCCAATGCGGCGCTCAGCAATCCCATTTTGCTGTGGTGAGTCCGGAAGCGTTAACGTCTGGCGGATCCCCCGTGCACGACAGTAGTCTCGCAGAAGGCGAGAAGAGAACTCTCCGCCTCTGTCAGAGTGCAGACGCAGAACAGGAAAGTCCGAGCCGAAGCTCTTCCTGAGCTGGAGACGAGCCTCGCGGATCCAGTCGATCAGCACCTCAGTGACCGCACCCTTGCTGCGCAAGGGGAGGACTGTGGTGTAACGCGAGTAGTCGTCAACCACCAACTGGAAGTAGCGCTCGTAACCCTGCCCACGGACGGGGGCTGGGCCCCACACATCCATGTGAAGCGTCTGCAGGGGAGCCTCTGTCGGGGGGAAGTGGGAGGAGTGAGGAGTAGCATGGAGGCGACCCTCGACACAGGGGACACAGGAAGGTCCTGGCCCGGAGGGGAGAGGAGGGAGAGACTGGGGAAGACCAGAGACAAGGACACGGGAAGCCATGCTCCGAAGACGGGGCAAGGAGGGGTGGCCAAGACGGTGGTGCCACAGGAGAGTCTCGTGAGACAGGAGGCGACAAGAACAGGGGGCAGACTCAGGACCTGACCGGGACGCAGCAGCAAGTACCTGACCCGACGCAGCCACCTGACCAGACGCAGGGACAGGAGGAGACTCAACGGTCAGGGTGTAGAGACTCGACCCCGGCCGACGCGAGAACGTGGCCAGGTGTCGGCCTGTGCGTGCCTCCGTGCAGTGGGTCACCCGCTGACTCGCAGGAGTGAACTGGTGAACACCCACATCCTGCAGGTCCGCTCCACTCACCAAGTTCGTAGAGAACGAGGGAAGGTACAGACCCGACAGGGTGCCCAAAGGGGCAGCCGGACACGGGAGGACAGTGGAGAAGTGAGACAGGACAGGACCCCCAGAGGGGTCAGCAAGGGAGACTGCAACCGGCCGGCCGAGCGGCGTAAGGGTAGTGCGGTCTCGAAAGAAGGAGCGAGAAGCTCCGGAGTCAAGTGTCAAAGTGAGGGAGGACGAGGACGACACAGTACCTGAGAGCGCAGTCTCACCAGTACCTGAGAGCGCAGACGCACTGGCACCTAGAGCAGCAGCCTCACAAGCACCTAGCGCAGCAGTACCAATGCCCGGGTCGGGCTGGAAACAGCGGTAACCCTCATTCTCCTCACTATAATCCACAACATACATAGCAGTAAGGATAGCATCAAAATCAAGATCAAAGATCGCTACACCAGCCCTGAGAAGCTCATCCCAGCGAGGGATCTCACTAGCCCCAGGGAACTGCTGACGCCAGGCGTCCGTCAGGCGGCCAAAGCAGCGCTGGGTGGCGTGGGCACCCCCACACTGCTCACCCGCGCGGTCGCCGGAACGAAGAACGTAGGTGCAGGGACCAGTACCCCCACCCCTCTGACGCCCAGCGTACCACTCACGAAGCTGCTGAGGCGAAGGGATGTCCCGAGAGCGCTGCTGCTGCTGCCGCTGCGAGCGCTGGCCACCACCACCGCCGCTACGCTGCTGGGTACCACCCCGACCAGATCCACCCCCTCCACCACTACTTCCTCCTCCGCTGCCGCCTCCACCGCCTCCACCTCCGCCGCCTCCACCTCCGCCGCTGCCTCCACCACCATCGCTGGCACCACCACCACCGTCTCCGCCGCTGCTGCCACCACCACCACCACCCCCGCCACTAGTCCCGCCGCCACCCCCACTCCCTCCGCCGCCACCGCCGCCACCGCCCCCTCCAGCTCCACCCGCGCCCTTGCCCCCCTTGCCCTTGCTGGAGCGACGTCTCCCACTAGGGGCAGACGCCGCGCCGACCGACTCAAGACCAAGCAGGTCGGCAGCAGCAGCAGAGGCAACAGAGGGCAGCAAGGGGGAAGGAGAGCACCCCTAAAAGATGGGGGTGCGAGGGTCACCACGAGAAGCACCTACAGCGACGATGCTCTTCTCCGCTGCGAGGAGGGCCTTCTCGAGGAGGTCGACGGTGAGGGTGGTGGGACAGACTGCAAGAAAGTGGTCCCTAACGACTCGAAGGGAGTCAGGGAGGCGCGCGACTACGTAGTAGAGAGCGATGTACATGGGGGGGGGGTTCTTAGCGCAGAACTCAGCAGGAAGGGCGGCGCGGTAGCGAGTGTCACTAGTGCGGAGGTGCGTAATGAGGTCAGCGAGAGTGGGAAAGGCAGAGAGGTCAGGAAAGAGGTAGGGAAGCATGAGACGGCTCAGTGCAGCAGTGGCAGGGGAGGAGTAGCGCGCAACTACAGCGTCGTACAAGGTCTGAGCACTCTTGTACTGACTGAAGTGCGCACGCTCAGAGGTAGGGAGGTGGCGACGCACAGCAAGACGTGCAGCAGCATCGCGGGTGGCCCACTTAGAGCGGACAGCGGGATCAGCATCAGCAGCAGGAGCAGGAGAGGCGCCAGAGGTGAGATCAAAGAGAGAAAGGTCGTCAGCCCTGTCGCACTGTAAGAACAGCTGCAGGTCGTCTAACCAGACCTCAAAATCAATGGCGCGACCCTCAGCGTCAAAAGCTAGGACACTAGGGGTAGCCATGGCGACGACAGCGACGCAGTGCAAGCAGCAGGGAAAGAGCTCGCAGTGTCAGTGGGACTGTGCTCACCAGGCAGGGCAGGTCGTGTAGGTATGCAGAAAGGCGGCTCGGGTGCTGGGCGGCTCGGCTGCTGGGCGGCTCGGGCGCAGGGCGGCTCGGCTCCCGGGCTGCTCGGCGGCTGGGCGGCTCGGGTGCAGGGTGGCTCGGCTGCAGGGCGGCTCGGGTCCCGGGCGGCTCGGCGTCGGGCGGCTCGGCTCACGGGCGGTTCGGCTGCTGAGGCGGCTCGGCCAGGAGATGCAGGGGCGGGGCCGTCAGGTGCAGCGGCGGGTTGACCGGTGCAGTGGCGGGCCGGCAGGTGCAGCGGCGGGCCGGCAGGTGCAGTGGCGGGCCGGCAGGTGCAGCGGCGGGCCGGCAGGTGCAGGCGGCGGGCCGGCAGGTGCAGGCGGCGGACCGTAGGGTGCAGTGGCGGGCCGTAGGGTGCAGTGGCGGGCCGGCAAGTGCAGCAGCGAGGCCGGCAGGTGCAGCGGCGAGGCCGTCAGAGGCGGCAGGCCGCTGGGTGCAGCGGCGGGCCGGCAGGTGCAGTGGCGGGCCGGCAGGTGCAGCGGCGGGCCGTAGGGTGCAGTGGCGGGCCGGCAGGTGCAGCGGCGGGCCGGCAGGTGCAGTGGCGGGCCGGCAGGAGAGGCGGCGGAGCCGCGTCAGGGGAGGCGGTAGGGCCGCGTCAGGGGAGGCGGCGGAGCCGCGTCAGGGGAGGCGGCGGTGCCGCGTCAGGGGAGGCGGGGGAGCCGCGTCAGGGGAGGCGGCAGGGCCGCGTCAGGGGAGGCGGCGGGGCCGCGTCAGACAGGCGGTGGGGCCGCGTCAGGAGAGGCGGCGGAGCCGCGTCAGGGGAGGCGGCGGGGCCGCGTCAGGGGAGGCGGCGGAGCCGCGTCAGGGTAGGCGGCGGGGCCGCGTCAAACAGGAGAGGTGGCGGGGCTGCGTCTGAGGGATAGCGGGGCCGCAAGGGAAAAGGCGACCCGAGGGGGTCGCTAAAAAAAGGCGCGCCTCGGGGCGCGCTTCGGTGGGCCCTAAAAAAAAACGGTCCTAAGGTAGGACCCGCTCTATACCATGTGGAGTAAAGAAAACAGGAATGAAAATGACTAAGGAAAGATTGGGTACAAATACAACCCTAGAAACCCTGTACCCCATATGTGCTACCCCACTATAGCCTACAGCAACTATGTCATATAAATCTGACACACTGTTCCAAACAACCCGTCTAAACAGATCGAGCTTACGTGATTCGCTCCCGCCAAAACAAAATTTTCTACTTGTACAAGGAGTCGCATTCGTGTACTTGCACGACGGTTGCAGAACAATGGTTTCGATTGCTGGACCCAGCTTCATGTTCAAGCGGTCCATGGGTTCACTACTACCGTAGCTAGTTTCAGAACAATGGTCTCCTTTCCTCTCTCCCGTCGCTCTCCTCTCTCCCGCCGCCCTTCCACTCTCCCGTCGCCTTCCTCTGTCCCGTCCTTTCCTCTCTCTCGTTGCCTTTCCTCTCTCCCGTCGCCTTCCTCTCTCTTGTCGCCTTTCCTCTCTCTCGTCGCCTTCCCTCTCTCGTTGCCCTTCCTCTCTCCCATTTCCAGTCCTCACCCCCCTCGCCCTTCTTCTTCCGCCTCCCGCCGCCCTCGCGTTCCATCACAATCGACTTCTTAACGCACTCCACCCTTCGTGTCCGCCTCCCATTGCTCGTACTGTCGCTCGTCCCGTCAGCCCGTCCAATCGCACGTACCATCGCATGTCCCGTCGATCCCTCTTCAGGTCCTTGTTCCTGTTCCCTCGCTCTCTCCCCCCCCCTTCCCGTCGCCCTCGCTCTCTCCCCTCCCTTTCCGTCGCCCTCGCTCTCTCCCCTCCCTTCCCGTCGCCCCCTTTCTCTCCCCTCCCTTTCCGTTGCCCTCGCTCTCTCCCCTCCCTTTCCCTCGCCCTCCCTCTCTCACCTCCCTTTCCGTCGCCCTCGCTCTCTCACCTCCCTTTCCGCCGCCCTCGCTCTCTCACCTCCCTTTCCGTTGCCCTCGCCCTCTCACCTCCCTTTCCGTTGCCCTCGCTCTCTCACCTCCCTTTCCGCCGCCCTTGCTCTCTCACCTCCCTTTCCGTCGCCCTCGCTCTCTCCCCTCCCTTTCCATCGCCCTCGCTCTCTCACCTCCCTTTCTGTCGCCCTCGCTCTCTCCCCTCCCTTCCCGTGGCCCTCTTTCTCTCCCCTCTCTTCCCGTCGCCCTCTTTCTCTCCCCTCCCTTTCCGTCGCCCTCGCTCTCTCCCCTCCCTTTTCGTCGCCCTCGCTCTCTCCCCTCCCTTCCTGTGGCCCTCTTTCTCTCCCCTCTCTTCCCGGCGCCCTCTTTCTCTCCCCTCCCTTTCCGTCGCCCTCGCTCTCTCCCCTCCCTTTCCGTCACCCTCGCTCTCTCACCTCCCTTTCCGTTGCCCTCGCTCTCTCCCCTCCCTTCCCGTCGCCCTCGCTCTCTCACCTCCCTTTCCGTCGCCCTCGCTCTCTCCCCTCCCTTTCCGTCGCCCTCGCTCTCTCACCTCCCTTTCCATCGCCCTCGCTCTCTCCCCTCCCTTCCCGTCGCCCTCTTTCTCTCCCCTCCCTTTCCGTCGCCCTCGCTCTCTCCCCTCCCTTTCCGTCGCCCTCACGCTCTCCTCTCATTCCACCAACACCAATGACCCTCCTATCTCCCTACCATTCTGCGGATTTTGCTCACGCATCTCTCCTTTCGCGTCCTCGTTTCTGTTGCACTATCTTTCTCTTTGCTCGTCCCCTGATATTATCTGTTTTCCGCTTCTTGTTTTTCTCATGTTGTCATTGCCGCCCTAGCAGGGACATGCTCTAAGGCATTTGCTTTGCGTGAGTTGGACTTGCTTTGCATGAGTTTTTCATTGCTTCGCAATGTGAATTTGGCACTAGTTGTAAATCACGTCGCAAACTTGGAGCGACGCTTTTGCACATGCTTGCGACGATTTATGTTTGAGAAGAAATGTGGAGAGTCGACCAGTATCATATGCGCCAGTAAAGAAAAACAGAACAACACTTCAACTTTCAAATGGACCCAACTAGAAGGGGGGGGGTCACAATTTTAGCTGCGGGCTTTAAGAACGTATTTCGACAAGTGCATGTGTGAGAGCACAAAGATAGCGGCTCCTAGCACGCTAAGGGCGTTTGCTCCTTCGGGTGAAAAATCAAAAGTTAGAAAGGGTTGATTGCAAGGACGCGCGGTCTCGAAACGAAAGGGGCTCTAATTACCATGTCTTACAGGTGCAATCGATGGATCAAGCGAGGATGGCACTAAAGTGGAAAAACGAGTACAAATGTTAGAGAAGGCATACGAGAACATTTATAGCAAAAATAAGCAAACGATGACGCGAGCTTGCGAGCTAGCTGGTGCGATGCTAGCTGGTCTGATGCTGGGAGCGAGGCTCGATCTAGTCTTGAAGCGTATGCTGACTCGGCCATTTATTTATTTTTATTTGAAATATACACTAAAATAAGTGCACAATACATCGGCAGTCGTAAATGTAGCTGGTGGGCATAGGGGGCTTGCGCCCACCATACCCACTCTAATCTTCTAAGGGGGACGGAAGGCCACCTTCGGGTTCGACCACATGGACATGAAACCCTTCGTCCACGTGGCCGGCTTTACTGACGTGTCCTGAACTCTATCCCGAATTCGAGGCTCGTCCTCGTCCAGTCTGGCACGAGCAGCGCCCAAACTCCGCTTCACCGACTTGGCACGAGTTTAAATCCTGATGTGCAGCGGAAGGGTTGCCGCGATACTCCGCAAGACCCGTCTTGCCCGAAATTTGCTCCTCTCAAAGACCGCATCACACATCTCCACCCAGAACTTGTGCAATGCGATCGGGTAAACCCGCGCCTGACGCTCCCCGTTGGAAAAGGAGGTCACCAGGCGACCCAACCTTCCTTCCTGGATTGAGCATGCGGATTGCCCTCAAAAGAGCCCGAACCACCGGCTGTATGCGCTGGCATTGAAAAAGCGCATGCTTCGGAGTCTCCCTCTCGCCAAAGTGTTCGCAAGCAACGGCAACACTGAGAAATTGGAACCTCTGACCCATTTGCGAGTTTCTGCTGTGTATCCGGGGCAACACATCCCGTGCCCGGTTCGGGATGGCCTCCGAGTCACGCACGCTAATCATCCTTCGCAGTCCAGCCGTGTGTGGTTTGGTGGGGGTGACAAGCGAAAGTGGCGAACACCGTCAAGTCGGTTCAAAAGCATACGCCAATATACTTAGTTCGTAGAACCGCATGGCCTTCTCCTAATGTGCCTATGTTCCGTTTGCCCTTAGTACAGTAAGTTTCGCACATAAGGGCGCGTAACCATTTTCTCCCTGATGATTCGTTTGTTGGACAGTCTGTTCAAAATGGTGGTTACAGCTATCGTGTGAGTTCACATAGTACTTTGCACGTAACAGTATGGCGTCAGCATCGCAACACTACCGTGCGGAACTTTTAATAGAAAGGCGAACGCACGGTTACGATTCGTCCGAAATGAACTGATAAAATATGGAGACTTGTGGTTGTCCCACGAAGGGACGCTGATTTTGCGGGAACCGTCGAAACTGACATTTCTTCGCTGCCAAACTGACCATAGATTGTAGAAGTGAAAGGCCCCGCCCTCGCTTGGGCGCAGACATTCTCTCCAGCAACGTGGTGAATTCGACGAAGTGATCGTCACATTGAATCAGCTCGTCCTTTGAAACCGCGGTGGGTTTTCGAGGAGGTGGTCTTATGATTCACCAGCCCATCAACGAGCTCTGGTCGACGGGGTGCTGTTCGACAAGCTCATCCTCTGATCTGCTAGTGAGTCGCGCGATCTCTTACGGGTTGGGGTGCTTTCCGAGGAGCCTCGTTCTCTAATCGAAGGCGCTGTTCGGCGAGTCTCATCTCGGCGAACTGGCTGGCCGAATTCGCACGACTGCGAAACTCTGCAAGGGCATGCGAAATTTGCTCAGGTGGCTCTTAGCGAAATTCAACTTGCGAAATGGCACCACGTGCTCGACGGTGGACATCTGACGAAACCGTCGGAGCGTTTTCTACCTGGCACCTGCGCAATGTCTCTGATGGTGTAACTGTCTGCCTGCACCTACTCGGCAGGTGCACACCTGCGTAGATATTCACCTGCGAATGTAGCGCTGGCAGGCCGCCCTATTGCAGCGCTGGCATGTCGCCCTTCTGTTACGCGGGCAGGTCGCCCTGTTTCACCGTTGGCGAACCGCTCTGATGCAGTGCTGGCTATTCGCCTTGCAGAATGCTTGCTAGGGATTGCAATGCCATTCCAATGATATCACTTGCATGCGCTTCTTTGTACTCTAATTCTCAAATTTCAATGTTCTTTCAATTTCCTTAGTGGAAACTCTTGCCAATCTCTCTGTGAACAGAGTAAGTAGTGAGAACTCTGTTAGAACGCTACTAGAGCACTGCGATCACCCACACAACCCCGTGCCATCCTTCGTAGTCCACTCCTGTTGTAGGGTGACTCTCCGCATGGTGCATTGAGCGTGGAACGGCCCCGCGTTAGGACCTTCAGATTAGGTGACTTCTGTGTTAATTACCAAAGTTGCAGTAGGCTGGCAACCGTCTAGACCGCCATGGCTGACCACGAGGAGGTCGCTGCAGGTGTAGAGGATACCCTGCAGGCGTGGTTAGATGACGTTCGGGCACGCCACGCAGCTGGCGAGTACGGCGGAGCAAACTTGGATGTTCTGCTCTTTGGAACCCGCGTGCAGTGGGCGCGCAATCACCCAACGACCCGTACTGAGGCGGATGGTTTGCCCGCCACTCCCCGACCGGCACGCAACGAAGAAGGCGTCGACGACCAGGTCAACGGTGGTAACCAAGTCGGCATCGAAGGCAGCACGAGGCTTCGTGGAGTGATTCGGGCCGCCGACGTCGGTGCTGGTGGAATGCAGACGCGGGTTCAGCGTTCGGCGGCAGCGGGAAGTTCGAACAGCACCATCAATGGTCGACGCCTTTCTCCCCAGCGTAGCGGAGCCAGGCCGACTTCGGCGACTCATGTGTCGGTTGGTCGAGATGGAGGCATCGCGCCGGCGTACGGCTATTTCAAACTCTCGCCGGACAAGATCGGTGTGCCGAAGCCGCTCGAAGGACGACATTGTTAGAATAGAAACGAGAATGAAGAAGAGGAGTTTCACTAGCAGCAATGAGAATACATATAGCAAACCCCAGATGAGTTGTACTCGCTATAGAGCACCCCACTACAGGCTAGAGAATAACATTCTGACAGACATGACTTGATCACGTGGATTGAGTCAATCGAATTCAGCTGGAGATTGCCGGATTGAAGAAGTTCGTTGACGACAAGGTGGAGATGCCGGGCGAAGACGACTCTGAATTATTGGCAGGATTTCGCGCTGCTCACCTATCAGTAGAGCTACACTGTGAGATCCCTGATCAATCCTAGGGGGGGTTACAGGCGCGTTTGCCTGGGAGGTTATGGGCGCACTGACCCGCTACTGAAACAAGCCCTTTTATCCCAATGGTCTAGTGGTTGGGTTCTGACATGGTATCAGAGCGGTCTCGGGTTCGAATCCCGGTGTATGCACATGTAGGCCGTTGCCACTGTGCTCAGTCCTGGGCCTCCCAGTGTGGGGGGGTGTCAGTAGAGCTACACTGTGAGATCCCCCATCGATCCTAGGGGGGGTTACAGACGCGTTTGCCTGGGGGGTTATGGGCGCACTAACCTGCTACTGAAACAAGCCCTTTTATCCAAATGGTCTAGTGGTTGGGATTCTGACATCACCTTCTGACCTTCATGGTCATTTCGAGGTGCTGTTCGCCGCTGGTGCAAGTCGCGCTGAAGCCGTGCCGACTTCGTGTGGACGCCGGCTACCAAGCGTGGCAGTACATCATCCGCACCTACAAAGCGAACGACGACCTCTACATCAGCCAACTGGTGAAGAAATTGGCCACCATTCGCATGGGCGAGCAGGAATCGGCGACCGAGTACTGCAATCGAGCGCGATGAATTTTGGCCGACATGCAGATGGCTGGCTTCGAGTACTCGGTGGCGTCGTATCTCATGCATGTCATCAATGGCCTCCCCTCGAGCTACAATCTGATGCGACGGATGCTGATTATGCCAGGCGCGCACGAGACTCTGAACGACGATTCGCTTTCAAGTCACATCATCCAGGATGAGTTCATGCAGAAGTCTGAGTGGTCTTCAGAGCTCCTTCCGCAGGCCAACTACGTCGCTCCGACGAAGCAGGGACGTCAAACGGGGTAGCGAGGGAAGTCGGGCGGAGGAGGAGGCGGTGGCGGAAATTCGTCGAACACGAAGTCAACGGAGGGCGCCGACCGCGGGAAGTCAGCGAAGGGCAATGATCGCGGTAGTAGTAGTTCGCGTCGAGGAGGACGTCGCTGCTACATCTGCCGAGACCCTGACCATATCTCGTAAGACTGCCCTGATCGCGACGAGTCTGACGACGATCAAAGAAGAAGCCGCGGGAAGTCTGACAGCGAGCGTCGTCGTCGAGACCACCAGCCTCGCAAGGAGAAGCCAGCATCGTCGAAAACGCCATCGAAATCAGAGGAAGACACCTCGAGCGGCTAGGAAGCCTCTTGTTTGATGGTTGGAGTGGTTGACCCAACTATTTCGCTGGCGCCGGAGGCTGGAGAAGACTTCCAGGCGGTCGCTGCAGCGGTGCAGGCAAATCCGAGCGTGGTGCTCCTCGACAGCGGCTGCTCTCATCATCTGATTGGAACGCGAGAGGCCTTCGTCGACATGAAGGAGGTGAAATCCGTCACGTGCGCGGATTCAACGGGGCGCTTCAGAATGTCGAAGGTCGTGGCACAGTT